TCACTGAAACAATTTAGGATGCTCCATTTCCCTTGTAAAATTGATTTTCTCTCCATGCTACATCGGGGGCCTTCTCTTTTGGATCCACCACAGCTCGAGCAGGAGGGAGTACACCGCCAGGAGCTGAGAGAGCCTGCTGTAGCCTGTGCCTCCATTTGGCACACTGCCATCCGCTGCAGTTTGGGAAAGTATTTAAAAGGAATGATCAAAAACAGGTTACTTTCAAAGTTTAGGTTTAAAACATCCTTCAGTTTCTCAGTGGAGAGAACAAAATGGCCCAAAATAAAATAATTAAAAAGGCTTTAAGGCCGGGTGTGGTGGCGCATGCCTTTAATCCCAGAATTCCCGAGGGTGAGGCATTGAGATCAGTGCAACTTCCAGGCCAGTCTGGGCTACACAGTAAATTCAAGGCCAGTTTTTTTTTTTTTTTAATTTTATTGAGAAAGAAATAGGAATGAGACAGTTTCAAAACAGGTTAATAGGACAGTTACAATAATTAATACATTGTATGTTGTCTTCATAGTAGTTATTCAGAGTACAAGATGCAGACATATCTTGTCTAAACACTATTAGTATAAATCTTTCTTCTCACCGAACTAAGAGAAAGTTGCTGTATATTTATATCTATCTATATCTCTATATATATATATTGTTTTCATTACAAAATGGACCTTCATTTATATCCCCCTCTTTAGTTTTGTCAGAGATGCGTGTTCCATTGCCATTCAAATCTTGTAGGTGCGTGAATTTAGCAAAATAACCCAATATAGTCTAACAGTCCATAAAAGTAGTGGGTTATCCAAGGAACTGGCAATGTCAGAAGTTGTTGACTTGAGCCTTTACAGCTCAGCATATTAATATGGCTTTACTTTTTATACCTCGAGTTCATATTCAAGGCCAGCTTGAGTATGAACTCGAGGTATAAAACCTAAAGCCAATGAAGAAAAAAAAATAAAACCAAAAAAGACCTGTGTCAATTTTGTGTTATTGAACAGCCCATCTGAGCTGTTTCCAGTTGGGTTAGTTTTTATAATTTTACTATGTATTATGGCTTATGTGTAGATGTCCCTCTAACACCTCACAGGATCATAGTTGGGGCTTTTTCAGAGGTCTCTGGAGCAAGAGCATGTGCTGAGGGGATTAAGGATGTGCGATTACTACGTTGGTCCCCTCACTGTTTTGGCACAGTTCTGGGAAGGATTAAAGGTGCCCTGAGTATGAGAGCTACTCAACCTACGGGAAGGCGGCCTGGATAAGATACAAGGGACAGAAAGAGCTTCACTGGTTGTCCCTTGTCCTGGCTGCTTGCTGCCTTTTGCCTGCCTTGCCATGCACTGCTTCTCCTCTGTGGCCCTTCTGCCACACCTCCTTGCCTTGGAGCCAGCCAAGTACGAATGGAAACCTGTACACACTGTGACCCAACCTTTCCTCCTTTAACTTGAGGTGTTGGGCATCTTGTCTCAACAATGAGTAAAGTAACTAAGACACTATGACTCCTTGAATCTTCTTTTAATTTTACTGATAATTAAATGACAAACAACACATAGGGCTGGGGGTGTAGCTCAATGGTAGAGCTCTTGTCTAGCATGTATGAGGTTCTGGGTTCAATTCCCATTACTGCAAAACAAAATGACAAATATATATACATGTATTTGCTTACAGTATGTGTGCATATATGGATGTGTATGTATTATTATTTTGTGTGTGTGTTTTAGCAAAGGATCTACAGGGTGTTCAGGGTCTCACTACTAGTAGTGAGCCACCTGTTTACAGCCTCCCAAGAGCTGGGATTACAGATGCGCGCCACCACATCCAGTCTCAATTGCTGTCTCAGTGCGCCCTGGGGACAGGGCCAGCACGGCAGGCCTGGGGATTGAACCCCCGGCCCCTGAACCTGCTGGTACACTGTACGTATTATTTTTGGAGGACAAAATGATCAGTTGCATCCATTATAAGTGGCAAAATACAAAAGGAGCTGATCTGTGTAAATGTCATGCCTGACCTAGAGAGACCCTCTCAGGAAACACGCCATCCTCCACAAGCAGCAAGATACCAGTAAAGGTCCTCAACAAACAGAGCACATGGCCACAGAGAAAGTTTAGGACAGGACATACAATCTGCCCAGCACCAGAAAGTCCCCTATTGTCTATACACCTGCACTGACATGCGGGGAACTTTGACTCCAAACAGTCCACCTGGATTCCTTGGGATTATGATTCTATCCCCAAACCATATAAAAACCCAACTTCTCTGCTGGCCAGCTGTTGATATTCACAATCCCAGCCTGTCCGCAGTCAGACAGAATAAATCCAGCCATTTGCTCACATAAAGCCTGTGTCAGGCTGGTGAGATGGCTCAGTGGTCTAAAGCACCTACTTGGAACAAGCTTAGAAAAGCACATGGACCATGGTTCAATCCTCCAGCACCACATGCCAGCCAGCCCTGCCCCCTGGTGGGCTGAGCTGCCCCCCCACACAAATAAATAAATAAAATAAAATTAAAGCCTGTGTCTCAGTGTTTCTCATGTGGTGTTGGTAATAACAGCAGATTCATAGCATTGGCCTAACTCCTTTGCTATGAAATTCTCATGGAAAGCAGCCAGTGTCTCTTTGGCCCAAACACTGTCCCAGGTTCCCCACTATTTGTGAAAGGAGAGGGTGGATGACATGGGAGAATGGAAATCTACATGGCCTCATCTGTAGTGTAGGACAGCTGTAGGATGCAGAACTGGTGGAGTACCAGGCAGTGATGTCACACTGTCCCTTTCCTGACTGGACAGCCCCCAGACTTCCTGTATTTCTGGTGTTAGGAAACTTTGTGAGGCCACTGACTTGACTCAGATCTCTGGTAAGGGCTTGGGCTTGGTCTGATGAAAGAAGGGGATTTACTTTCTGTACCTCCAGCATCCAGAGACATTTGCCATGGTCGGGACAACAGCGCTGCATGTTAATACAGACCTCAGCTAAACTCCTTAGCTAGTCCAGCCTAGTGAGGAAGAGCATCCTGCACACATTCCCACCAGGGACTGAAATCTTAATGGCCTCACAGATATGATCTCTGACATTATGAGGTTTAGATTCCAGATGAAATATGGAGAATGATGGAACACACGAATAAACAAGATATAACTCCAGAGCGCAGTGAGTGACTGGGAAGAAGTTAAGGCGTGAGACATAGTGGGATATGGGGGCATTGGCGGATGGTCATGTATCTCATCCTGATGATGACCGGTTGTGAACCAAGTCACAGGGGACAAATGGTGCTTCACAACTTTGTTGATTCTACTGAAAGACAAAGCGTCCAAGTTGTGGTTCTCACCTCTTTGGTAAAGTTGTTCAAGGACACAAACAGGCCTTGTGTGCTGTCTGAGGACATGTCCTGCCTGGCTGATACAGAGCAGGGGGATGGCTATTTTTTTCTTTTCTTCACTGCTGGTCCCATCCCCTGGTATAGGGTGGGCATGCCCTGAACACTCATGGGATGAGTGAATATGGTACCAACTGAACATGCACAGTCTTCCTTCTCTGAAACTGAGATTACCTGTTTTCCTTCTAATTGTCCCCCAGTCCCTATGCTCTTACCTTATGAGTGCAAACAATAGCCCCCTCCCAGCAGGAACTGGGCTGTTGGCCTTGACACTTCTTCCTTCCACCAGCCTAGCTGGTCAATGCATTTTGCTGATTCTCAGCTTGCAGTTAGGTTTGTAGGTTTTTATGCCCCTGTATTCTTCCTAACCCTAGTTATTCCAGTAGTACAATAACCCATACTTCTGGCAGCTGGACCAAGATGGGGGAATTGGAAAGTCTTCTTACTTAAAACACCGCAGCAGCTATCCACACCATCCTCACCTTTTAGCATGGAGCAAGGCCTGGTGTAGTTGGTGTGAGGCCTCCTCCAGCTCAATTTTTATTGTTTTTCCTTGTACCCCAACTTAGGTCGCCCTTAGCTATCATAGGGTGTGTCCCCATTGGTGGTCGGCAGATGCAAAGTTGAATTCAAGGGCAGGCAGGAAACAAGCTCACTGTGTCCTTGTCACTCCGTAAGGCCAGGTCTGTGAGAAGAAAGCACCTGAGGCAGGTGTGGTCCTTTCTTGTCCAGCGGGGCCTTGTGTGGTTAACCTGGGTCCATTCACCTGCCCTGGGCTAGAAGGGCCACCTAAAAAGCAACCATTCTTACCAGCAGAGGGCAGTAGGAGAACCCCAGAAGCTGGGGCTATCAAATGTGACATGGATCCTTTACAAACAATTCTGTGGATGAAGGGGTCCCACAAAGCTGGAAGCATGTGGCAGGAAGGGAAGGCCAGGCTGCAAGCCTCAGGTAGGTGACCACATGGTTGTACTACAGATTTTCTTTGGAAGCAACTTGCCTGGCCACCCCTGCCGCAGCTGCTTGCTTATGCAGCAGCTACTGCCCACCACACCCCACACCCCACCAAGCACTCCTCACAGCAGCCAGCCAGCTCAGCAGCCTCCAAAATGAAGCCCCAAGGAAACCAGCTTCCTGCCCAGGTGCCACGTGCTCAGGACAGGACAGCAAAAGAGGGCCAAAAATGCTTATGGTCAGGGAGAGGTAGCGCCCTCCTGTGTTGAAGAACAAAGAAATTAAATGTTAGCAGCCACTTTGCATCAGGGAAGATTGATTTGTCCTTCTGCTGTGTTGTTTCCATAGAAGCATGGCTTAGCCTTTTAAGTGAAGATTATAAAGCTACCTAATTCATTTAAAATTAGGCTTTGAGCATCTCGGTACTTAATGCCCAAGTGTCTCCATGGGACCTGCCGCAGCCATTGATCTGACTGCCAGCCGGAGCCAGGGTCTCTGTGGTGACGGAAGACTCTCGTTCCAGTAGCAATCTAGTTTGTTTTATTTTTTAAAATTAACTTCATAAGGAGGTATAACTCTGTGAAAGATCATGAGGGTATTAATAAATACCTCTTAATGAATGAATAGCATTGACTTCATAAGCACAGGAACACTGGGGTACAAGAAAGACATGTTGCACATTCAATTAAAGTAATTTATTGTGTTCTTCCAGAATGGACATAAAGAGCATCTTGGGAGTTGATATCACAACACAATGTTATACACCATTTTCACAACTAACCTTGCGCTGAATTCTTTTTTAAAGAACATAGTAATTTTTAAAAATCTAGATATTTACATATTAAAACATATATACAGAAGATTGAGATGTTATCCACAGATACGGAATTTTATTTTTGCTAAGAAAGCCTATAAAAAGGATTTCTGAACAAAGCCTGAACAGTAGTCACAGTACGTTAACACAAATATGATTTGAATTTACAAAATATGATTTATGGTTGCAGTTTTGATTGCATTTCCAATTTGGGAATCCACTGCACACATCTGTGAGCTGACCAGTCCTTGCCCCTCAAGTGCTGAGAACTCCAAGCTGTCACCCACTCTTGGAAGGAAGTGCTTTTGAAGGTTCATGGCACATATTTAAGAGACCTACAGTTGTAAGTAAATGTTTCTACCTCTGGTAGCAACATATTCACCATAGCTTAATAGAATGAAAGGTCACTAATTAATCTTTCCTATTCCCTTGAGGAATGTTTCGTTTTGGAAGGCAGAAGACAAATCTTTGAGCATATGCTGCAGAAAAACAAAAACCCTGGTTTGTACATAGCAGTTCATCAGACCACTTGGTGAAAGGGGAGTGGTTTCAGGAAAAGGATACTTACTGGCTGGAAATGGGAGAGGCTTCCCAAAAGATGTGATGGAAATAATTTCTCTGAACCTTCTCTTTAACTTTAAAAAGAAGTGAAAGATACACACACACACACACACACACACACACACACACACACACACGCTGTAACTGTCTAGCTGAGAGGCCCCATAAGCCAAGGCAGACCAGTTGCCTGCTACATTACGGGGGTGTCATGCATCTCCAGTTGATTAGCTGGTCTTTGCTGACCTACCCCTGAGAGCCCCTCCTGCCACTATGGTAGAATAGTTCCTTGGGCAGGCTAGTCAGCACACGCAGGCCCCAAGTCCAGTGGGCACTGAAGGCTCACCTGACCCTGGGTAGCTCTTCCCCTCCCTCCGCAGTCTCTCCTGGAGAGCTTCTGCAATGACTGTCAGTTCCATCAGGTGGAGGAAATGAGTGCCAGGCAGAGGGGTTGCACTTTCAGCATGCAGTTCTGAACACTGTGGTTTGGGGGATCTACAGTTAAATGTCTTTCACATCTGTGTTTGCTCTTTAGATAAAGTGCCAAACATTCAGGGAAACTTGCTTTATATAATAAATGAGGTAATGATGCAATATTTCAAAGTGATATTAATGTATGAAAGAAAGAAAGCAATATGAAGGTAAATGCTTATGGAAAACGAAGAACCACATGGCAAGATATGTCTGAAATCAGTCCGGCCTTTCTCATGTTGGTCATGTAGAGTGGAGGGCCAGTAGGCCAGGGAGCTCGAACACGAAGCATGCACAGTGGCAAGTCTCCCACCACACAATGTCAGAACCTGGACTGCTCAGGGAAAACCACTGTCTGACTGTCAGGTGTGGAGCAGGGAACTTACTTTAAGCCTTTCACCTGCTTTGTCACCAGGCCAATGCGATTTATGCAAAAGGCTTTTCTTTCCTACAAATTCATACACTGTTTGCACAGCTTGACTCATTAGGATGGCTATTTCTGGGGCCAATGATGTTAGAAATGATTCTAACAGGTCAGAGCTGCCCTGCCTCCTCAAACAACTTTTTTCTTTTTCTGCACTGAAGAAGATCGACTTCATTGCGGCCTCAGGTACCCTCAGTCCTAGAATGAGTCACATTTCTTTATATGCAGCTAAGAAATTTACAACAAAATAAATATGTTTCAAAAACAGTCACATGGAAGTTACAAATGAATAGAAAAAGAGAGAATGGCTTCTTCGCATTGGACAATCAACTAACTGGGCCACATGATGGACTTTTAAAGGGTAACAAAGCAACTTTAAAAATGATTTCTAAAAATCTTATACTAAACTGGAGGCTTGATTATCACATAATACAGAGAAGGCATATGAAACTATTCAAACATGACAGGTAAACATCACCAAACACCCACACTTTGCTTGAACCTGAAATGCTACCTGGATCTTTGAAGAAGTTCAAAGGCAAGAATTACAAACGCTAATGACAAAGGTCACTAAAAAGAGAGTCTAGACAACAACCTGGCGTTCCGTGTCCTCTGTGTTTTCTCTGCTGTTGTCAGATATATTACCTACAACATAGAGACAGGACATAAAGAGGGGTGGCTCCCCCGGGAGAGCTGTGTTGCCAGTCACGAGGCTGGGGAAGTGTTTAGACAAGTTAGGTCCCTCTGGGAAGCTCCAGTCTTGTAAAATTAAGTGGCCAAGATTTTCACTAAGGAGTAGGTTGTACTAACTGCACAATTTTAGGAAGCATGCAAGCCCATGAATATGTGTCCCTTCTGAGTATGCCCATATATTGTGACAGAAAAGAGCTAAATAAAATACAGTTAACCTGCAACACAGAATATCATTCTGATAATTATGTGTACAAAGATATGTAATAAAGAGAAAAAATGCTTCCTATGCATAAATCTCTAAAATTCAGGAAACAAAATTGCACATGGAGTCTTTCCATTACCTCAGTAAGCAAAATATAGTGAAAAGTCTGGGGAAAACACTCAACAATGATTGTTTCTTCTTATACTTTTTCATCAAAAGAAAAATATGCAAAATAATGCCAATTTGTGATGCAAACTGCTAAACCCAAAACAATATCACCCCACTATTTCAAATTCAGAATCCCCATTTTATGTGTTCAGAGAGTACTGTTTGAATGTTACTTCCCTTGGCTCTGTTTAACTGCCCACTGTTCGCACATCCTTGGAGGTTTCTCCGGGCCTCACTCTCCACCCTTGTGCTGCTGCACAGGAGGAAGTGTTCCTACCTCTCCCAGTCATCTAGGGCAGGCTTTTGTGCACCTGAGCCCACCATGGGGCTGATTGCCAGCAGCTATTCAAAAGACTCAATCAACAGGGCCAAAAGGGAATAAATTTAAAAAACACATTCTCCACAACGATATCTAGTCCAGCTTTGTTAAAAGCAAACAGAAAGATGTGTGAAGGTGGTTGGTCAACACAAATATCACTTGACCACCTGACTCGAACCCTTGTCTGACTCACAGCACTAGTTAAGGGTCTCTATTTCTTCCCTGCCTCTCCACAACACATGCAAACTGGAAGAAAAAAGACCTGAAAATGGTACTAGAGGTACCGTTGAATCTTTACAGGGGCAAATGCAGCCAGCTCAGACACCACAGTGAAGGTGTACACCCGTCCTGACAGCTCCTGCAGCTCTGAGCAGTGGGAGGCCTCAAGGCCAAGCCAAGGCTGCACGTGCAGGAAGGGCAGGAACGCTCTGAGAGCAGCTGGTCATGTCAGGGCACAAGGGACAGGAGGACCAGTGGGAACACTGTGTTCAAAGCTAACCAGCGTGGGCATATACTTAGAGGGGCAACCAAGAGGAATGCTAGAGTGTAAGGATTAGTCTGCTTCATTACTGCCAAATTTGAGCACCAACTTGTGACTTCTTTCTCCCTTTTCTAAAATAAGCAGTTTTACTATCATGTTGTATAGTAACTTTTATTAAATATCTATCAGTAGTCTAATGAAAAGACCTGACAGTGTGTTTTACCACTTTCTTAATCATAACCTCAGAGATCTGGACAAAATTAGAGAAAGGACTTGAGTCAAAGAGCTTAAACTGCAGTGGCCTTTGGGTAGGCTGTTGCTGAACATCCTCGTAATTGTGAAGACTGTGAGACACTGAGACGGGGACAGGGATTAGCACACCATCATCTCTGAGCATCTTTAGGAAACATGCAGAAGGAAGCTGGCTTTGGCTTAGGTGTGAGAAAGCTCTACAGCACAATGGCTGGGAGTCCAGGGCCTGGGCTGTGGCCAGGCTATCAACCAGCTGAGACCTTGGCAAAGTTGTTTAAAGTTTCTGGGCCTCAGGCTTTTTTTCCTGTAAAATAAAAGGACTGGATAAAATTAAGGGATTGGATTTGATGATCTCTCAAGTTCCTTCTCATTCTCAGATTCCTTGGCAGTTTGTTCAGTTCCATGAGGCTGTTCTAGCATCCCCTGTGCTCAGTTTTCTCATCTGAAACATCTCTGGAGGCAGAGTCAAATGCAGACAGTTAAAAGCAAAGGAATTATTTCAAGGGGCTTGTTTTTCAAACAGTACAAAAGCCCACTGAGTCACATGACAGAGAGGACAGGTGGTGTCGATCCCTGGGGACCTGCTAGAGAAGCACCTGTGCCTCCCAGGGCCTCTGGAAACACAGTTCTGTTGCTATGGTTAGTGTTTCCTGCATCCACAGGGCTCTAGCATGAGTGATGAGAACAGGCCTGATACTCATAGAATGACAGATTGGGAAGGAACAACAGAGATCACACTCTTTACTTAATTCACAAATGTGACAACACAGCCCACCAAGAAGAGAAACCCCTTTTGTACCATGACTATATAGAGTAAGAACCTGATATACAGGGATTCTTTTTTTGTACTGTGGCTTATTTATTTTTCTGTCTATCTATTTACTTTTTTTTCTGGTACCAGGAATTGAACTTAGGACCTTGTGCACGCAGGCAGGTGCTAGTGCCTGCTGGCCCCTATCTATTGATCTGTTACATAGCCCCTCCTTAAAGAGAAAGAGAAAGAGAAAGAGACAGATCACTTACACAACTGGGCTTCCATGCTGTTCTCAAGTTTACCAATGTGTGCCCATCTTACACCTATGGACTCTGACTGAAGCCCACCTTGGATCATGTGCAGTGCCAGTGAGCTCTGCACTGCCAGGAACTCTGCTAAGAGTTCTTACCCATACCAGACACTCCACTACTGTTGCCAAATTTAATTAAAATCTTATCACTGTAAATCTGAGGAAAAAACATTAAATTGAGCTTTTTCAGTCAGAGGTTTTTTTGGGATGCCTGAATTCTGTGGATAGCATCTTCAGGTATTCTTTGAGGGCAGCCAATAAAGAATCTTTAGACCAAGAGAGGACCAGACTGGCACACAGCTGATTGATCTGACTGATAGACCTGTGTGCTCTGGCTCTCAGGTATGAACGGGTAACACAGGAAGGAGGCAGGATCAGAGGCTTACTTGAGAGTCAGAGGGAGCCAGCCATTAGAATCATGCCCATAGCTCCACACAACAGTGTGCAGCCAGCTCTGAACACAAGGTTGTGTTTAGCAGGTTTGGTTAAGACCAAGAATGTCAGCTAAGCTGGATGGACTGGCTTATTCCACCACAAAATTTATGTAAATAATAACACTAAAATTTATGTAAATAATAACACTAAAATGTATGTAAATAATGACCTCAACTGTCAGGGGGTGCCTGTGGGGTGAGGCAGGGATGGGCTGCCTCTCCAGGCCTTTTGCAAGGGATGGGAGAAGGCAGAAGACACATGCATTTGGTCACATAAAATCAGTGATCCCTATTGTAAAGTGAAAAAAATCTTACTCCATCTCATGTCAAAAAAAATTTGTAATGCCTAAACCCCAGAGAGGCAAAACTTGTTGTAACACTAAGTTCTCAGGATTTACACTTCTGAGATTTTTTTTTTTATGAGCATGACACAGTGTGAGTAAAATGTAGCTTTTCATACTCTTTCTATCCAATGAAAAAACATCCCTGAACCCTGGGTCTTGGGAAGCTCTGACTAGTCCACTGGACCTGTTCTGGAAGCAGGGTTGCTCAGGCGCCTGCATCTCTGATGTTAAAAGCATTTCCAATGCAGATATTTTCATGTGCTTTATTTTCCAGCAGGTGATGAGAATGTAAATGTGTTTTACCTGTTGGTGGCAGAGAAATGCTGTCCAGTCTTTCATCACCATCAGCTACCTCTGCTGGTTACAAACATAAAACACAAATCTCATTAGTTGCAGGGAGCACATTCATTTTACTCAATATAGTAATGCAATTAAAATATCTTCAGTATATATAACTGTTTTCACCTTTCCTTTCTTTTTTCAGATTTAGTTGATTTCATATTATGGTTTTTAGCATCATTATTTACATTAATTTTTTGATGATGATAATGACATAGATGAACTTTCCTATATTAAAAATTCTTTTAAATCTTACAAACCCTATTTCAGTTCACTTATTTACATAGGTTTAAGCACCGAGCAAGCATCTAAGGTGGGTAGTTTAAGCATGTCATTAAATGTGCTCAAGACAGCGAATTCCTGTTGTAGAACTATAATCATCACCTGTGGAGCCACTCCTGGTGGGAAAATGCTGGAAAATCTGAGAAAGAACCTTTGTTTGGAGGTGCCTGGAAATTTAGCTGCCTGTCCTCGAGCTGCCTGTCTAACCTGGGACTGTATTCAGTCATGAGGAAAATCATAAAGGGGAGCTATATATTTTTTTCAAAAGCATTTTCTCTTCTGTGATTTAAAATGCAAACCTTGCTGATAGGTGTTTCAGTCTCCTTAGGAATTTTGCAAAAGCAGAACTTTCAGTCACAAAACTGTCCACTAAATATAAAGGGGCCTGTTAGTCTCCTGAACTGAAGGGCATGGCACTCTCCCCTAATGTGCAAAGAAAACATTTCCTTCGGGCTGCCAGAGTACTTCTGGTGGTGCCCTCCCTAGCTTAGGGGAGCCCTGGAAGCTGCCTGCTGACTGTGTGCGTGAATGAAACCAAAGGTGGTTCTTCTTTCATGTCATCACACTGTAGCACTGGATTGGTAGGAAGAAAATTTCGCATATGTTCTTTTTCCTATTGTTCTTGCTTTAAACATAGTATTTAGGCACAGCTAGAAATGATCCCAGACTTCCACCTCTAATTCATCCTCAAATGCTGTTGATGCATTCATTTGACATTAGTGAAAGACCCACTGTCCGCTGTGCCGCCACACTCACCACAAAGAGAAAACACCCAGGACAGACTGAACAATCACACTCAACTGTGGTTGGAGTAGAAATCCCCAAATATGATGTTGTAGATGAATATTTAATAAAATAAAAAGATAGAGGCCAAGCAAGAACATAAATGACATGATTAAATTTTGTACACAGACTTTTTTGGCTGGGAGACATACAGAAATCCTTTATGGAAAAGAGGCTTTAGGAATTATAATTTTTGTTCTTTGGGTTTTAAGTTCTTTTATTCATATGCTGAGCTGTGAAAGGCTCAAATCAACAACTTCTGTGGATAACCCACTACTATTGTGGACTGCTGGACTGTGTTGGATTGTTTTGCTGAATTCACGCACCTACAGTATTTAGATGCCAATGGAATACCCATTTCTGACAGGACTAAACAAAAAAAGGTGATACAAAGGAAGGACCATTTATCTGTATATGCAGAATAGTTAGGATAAATATACAGCTACTTTCGCTTCATTCAATGAGAAGAAAGATTTGTACTAATAGTGTTTGGACAGGATATTCTGTCTGCATCTTGTACTATGGATAACCACTAAGAAGCTAACAATGTACAATGTATTAATTATTGAAACTGTCCTACTAATCAGTTTTGAAACTGTCTCATTGGTATTTGTTTCTCAATAAAATAAAATATAAAAGAATGAACATATGTCATTTTTATATTTAGAAGACATTACTCTCTTCTAATTGGTTTGAATGATTCTGAATAGGAAGGTGATCTACACCGTAGTTCTCTCACAGTCTGGGATTTAAAGTCTTCAACAATAGCAACAATAAATAACAACAGCAATGATAGCCACCACCATATGTTAAGGCCTCAGCATTCACAGAGCTCTGACATGCAGTATGTCACTTAACCCCTAGAGGATTCCACAAGGTAGAGGCATTATTGCAGTCATTTTAACACATGAGGCAGGTGAGACAGGTGTAAGAAACTTATTCCACATAACACTGCTAGTAAGTGAGAGGGCCAATGATTGAATCAGGTTAAGGTATGGGTCCTTCAATATCTTCGCTACTAATAGCTCAAACATATTACATGCATTATTATGAGTATATTTTTTAAATCTTCAAGCTTTAGTTCACCTTAAATGCTAATAACTTTACATGCATAACTGAGTTTTGGTTGGTTACAGCAAAAATATATTAGTAGATGTTGATCTCCCATTGTAATTCAGTTACCTTTTTTTTATAAATAGGCCTGTGCAGTTATATACTTTCATCAGAGTAAAACATGTACTATGAAAATTATATATATTATTATATGTAAATTAGCTGAAGATAGCTGCATGGGTAAAGGGCAACAATGTTACACTTTATTGTAACATCTGTCTGCAACAAGTTCACAATCTTTCTTCCCTTGTGACAATCAAGTTATAAAATTTGGAAAAGATTAAGCAAATCCAATAAAAATTTAATAGCAGTGACAGCTTTACTCTTGGATCTAACACAAATAATAAATTGTGATTTCAGCTCTGAGGAAGTAACCTAATGAAAATGGTAAAATCCACACCAGGAAAGGAATCATTCCAGTTACAGAAAAAATTATTACATGTGATGAGAACCTCAAGTGAATTTCTACTTGGATTTGCATAACGGCCTTTAAGCTAGGTGGGGGTGCTGCTTTTTTCTAGAGGCAATGCTGGCTTCCCCAAGTGGTTAGTTGATTAGCTTGCCCAGTCAGAGTCTGTACCTAATTTCAAGAATTGAAACCAAATATTGCAAATAAGGTTGAAATTGTAGAATAGACATGAGACACTGTTTGTATTATTATTTAGACAGAAAATAATAAGGGCAAAACACATTGAGAACAAGTAAATTATTGATCGGCACTTGGTCCTTTGCAGTAAATGCAAGTGGCTCTAGCTAGATTTGTGCATGAGCTGAAGCGGAACAGTGTTTCACATGCAGGTCATATCTGATGTGCAATCATTTTGGTTTGTACATCAATGTGGCTTTGTCTTACAGCCACCTTCCGCTTCTCTGTGGCTAACAGAACATGCTTGAAACATACCACATACAAGAAGGCAGAGCACCTAACCCAGGGAACAAAAGTTGAAATGGCCCAAGGCAAATATCCTGAAGACCACAGAGCAAGAAGACAATCACTCACACTTCCAAGGGAAGGGCTCTAAGGAAGGGCAGGCTATAGGTTGGCCTTGTTCTAGAGAAACAGGTAAAGGCAGGGGAACACATGCATCTGAGGTGTGTTATGAAAAGAAATGCTATAGGAATGAGGAACTGTGTTCACTGGCCAGGATGTGCGAAGGGAGAAGGGGAATGTGGAGGTGCATCTCCTACTGTGTGCAGGTATACTTGCTGTAGGAAGGTGGGGAGGGAAAGAACCCAGGATCTCTTACTGATCTTGGCATCTGGTAGCAGAAGGGAAAACATCTGCTTTATAGTATGGTCGGTACAGCATAGTGAAGACACCAGAACAATGAAACATAAGAATAGATTTTTTCTATTTCCTGTTTCTGAGGTGGGATCTTCCCAAAGTCCTACCTCAGCATAGCTGAGACTTTTGGGGATACTTGAGATCTAAACCAGAACAGCCTATCAGTTCTGACCAGCCCCAGTAAAGTCAGAAGGGGGCAAAAGAGGATGGAAGAATTAAGGGGGGCTCTCGGATGGTCATAATCTGTCACCATGTGCACCAGGACTGTCTCAGGCTAGCTCAAAGTTGGTGGTGCTATGTAGATGCTGGTGTTTGTTAGTGTTTCCAAAACACCGGTGATTGGTTCCAGCCTGAGTACAAACTGCTAAATTATCATGGCCCTGATTCAACATAGCAAAACAACACTTTATCTTCCCAATGACCACTTCCTCCTTCTTTCCCACCCCAGTCCTGGATACCTTTCCTGCACACACAAGGGAGGCCCCAACCAGCTCCTTATGTATCCCTGAACTTGCCCCTCTAACTCCACCCCTAGCAAAGAAGTCCATAAAATTTCAGCCTTCCTGAGTCAGGTCAGAGGATCCTCCCCATCTCCCTCTAATCCTCTCCTGTGCTCCTCAATGGCAATAAAGTCCTTTCCCTCCTCCATTTTTTTTTTTTTTACTTCTGTTTTTCTGCCATACCAAAAAACCTACCAGTTGGAATCAAAATGCTGGTTCTTGGTAGGTAATCTTTTCCATTTTCTTAGGGAAAATACCAAATTTAGGTTTCTTCATTATGACACATTTAGATTTCTCTCCAACCTGAATACTATATTTAGTGTCTTTGAATTCTGGGAACCAACAATTTCTCCCTGCAAATCACCTGGGGAAATGTGAGAAATACTTGAAGCTTGCAAGGAGTTGGAGGGAAAAGAACCATAGAACCCCGGCATTTGAAGTGCTAGAGACCATCTGAGGAAGGAAGAAGAGAGCTTTGTGCTTTGCAGCATATGGCTGTTGCTGAGGAGAGTGATTAAAAGTCCCCAATGGACTTGAATACATCAAATGTTAAGAGAAACTTTCAAGCTCATAGTGATGCATGCCTATATTTCCAGCTGCTCAAGAGCCTAAAGGAGGATTGCAAGTTTGAGGCTAGCCTAGGTTACTTAGCAAGGTCTTGTCTAAAAATAAAAATTAAAAGGGGTTGAAGAAGTAGGTCCACATTCTCTGGGTTCAATCCATGTAAATGGAAGTTCTTATATATGCAAACAGTCAAGATGCCCAACATAGTGTCTAGGCAACCCAGGGCAAGTTAACATGTAGACATCACTTAGGCTTGAATCTAAAATTGGACCTGGTATAAAACCAAGGACATGGTATGAACAGAACATGACAACAGTAACAACTCAGGGAATACCAACCCAACTGGGGAAACCTACTAGGCAAACTACCTTTGCTTTAAATGTAAAGGATTTTCTTTCTCTTCCTAGAGGAGGCTGGCAGGGGAGACTAAAGCACTGAAAGGGGTCTTTTGTGATGTATAAGGCAGAAGCAGGGGACCTTTGGGTACTGAAGACATTACTATTCCCAGATGTTTTCCAATTCATTTACTCTGAGTGAGATCCGACCACCATGACAGGAAACTCTGAACATTTGGGGGATTATGGGAGAAGAAAGAAACCAGGAAGAAAGTATAAAAGCACTAAGGTGAGAGAGCAGAGAAGGCAATGAGAGAAAGGAAGAAGTGGGGCCACACTCTGTCACCATGAGTCCTGAACACAGACCTCAGGAGACTTTCATAGGACAAACAGGGTCTTTTTGTGGACTGCTGTCCTTTCTAGAATTACTGGTAGAATTCCTTTCTGGAATTACTGATTTCACTGATTCATACAATAAAATTGAGAGGTAGCCCTGTCTTATACACTGTATCATTTGAACTAGAATGTGACTCAGGCAGAAGCCCTGCCATTGAGAGCTCCTGGTCCATTACAGGAAGCAGAAATATACCTCTTTGGGTGGCAGAAGATCCAAGTGCTGGGGCCTCCCAAGAAGGCTCCCAGAGATACAGAGCTTTATGAGAGATGAAGCATCTCACAGACAGAGGGGACACATGTGCCTGTGAGACCAGCCCATTGTGGGAGCAAGGAGAAGGCCGGTGTGGCTGGTGGAGCCTGAGGCCTGTGACAGGAGACCAGGCTGGGAAGCAGGCAAGGATGACTGGGATGGCCTCCTGTGAAAAGGATCTGCTGGAGAATGCCATGGTTTGACTATGGTCCCCGAAGCTCAGGTTTGTTAGTATATTTTGTTGTTATTTTTACGGTATCAATATTTGTGATATATATATATATATATTGCAGGACCAGGGATTGAACTCAGGCCCTTGTGCTTGCCAGAGAAGTGCTTATTCCACTGAGCCATCTCCCCGGCCCCTGTGATTATAATATGATACTTTGCAGTATGTACACATTATGCAATGGCAGAATTGAGTTAACTAATTCACTATTACCGCACATACTTTATAGTAAAAACAAAATCAACTCTTAATTTGCAAGTGGAAGAATTAACAATACTATCAGGAACCACATCACATAAGGAGCATATCCTTCCTCACTGGAAGTTTTGTTCTCTTCGACCAGTATCTTCCCAATGTGACTCAGCCCTGGGGACTATTCTCTGCTCTGTGAGTTTTGCACAGTGACAGTGGGTAACTTTTGTCTTTCTGTACCTGCCTTACTTTACTTAGCATGCCATTCATCATGTTTACCCATATTTTCTTTATCCATTCACCCAGTGGGGCCACTGATATTGATTCCTCATCTTAGCCATGGGGAAAATGCCTCACCAAACACAGGAACACAGATACCTCTTCAACACGCTGATTCTGTTTAGACATATACCTAGCTGTAAATTTGGCAGTTCTATTTTTAATTTTTTGAAAAGCTTCCATACTGTTTTTCATAATAGACATACTGATTTGCATGGAATTTAGAAATAATACCTACAGATCTTGCGGCCTCCCAGAGACAATTCTTTTAGCAGGAGAAAATTGTTCTCAAAGGGTAAACTCACTCCCTGTTACATGTGGCGGCTGCAACTTTAAATGACCAAATCTAAATAGCTACAACTCAACTGGTTTTTTCTAGAAGAATAGTTCCCAAATCATCAAGCCCAATTTTTTTTAACACACACACACACAACTTAGGATTTCTTCCTATTTGATGTAGTATTTCTGATATGATGATTTTTTTCTTTTCTTTTTACGTTAAGCAATTAGGGCTTCTATAAATTCATTCAAATACAAACAAAACAAAAATCAATAAATGAATAGATGCAAACCACAAAGGAGAGCCCCAGTGTAATACATGAGACACATCCCATCACATATGAGATTCACAATTTTTTCCAGTTGTGCTACTGAAAGGAAATGGCTGGACACAATTTTTATGACTTAATCTTAAAAAGGTGAGTTCCAAACATTCACTGGAATGAGGATTTAATACAGCCAAGCAGAGAACACTACACTATGTAGAACATCTCTTTCAAAAGACAAAGGACATAGCAATACCCTAGAGGAAAGTATTGTGCTTTACAAAGGTTGAGAATTCAATAAAGTACTTGCAGTTACCTTCTTTCAACTTACTCATACCTGAGCCTCTTTTTAACCTTCTTCTGGCCAGCTTAATTTGATCCTGGAGAATCTGTACCCAGTCTCTCGGGCCAGGGAGCTTGTCCACATGGTTAGCAGTACAGTACTTCTCTGTGAAGACTGAAAGAAAATGTAGAATACTGTCAAATACTTTAGCAAGTAAAATGCACAGACCTGAAATAGCAATACAGCCCAAGAAGACAACAACAGTTTCTCTGTGGCTTGCTTTCTCTGCTGGTGGTGAGGGGAACTGAACCCAGGAACTTATAGGTACTCTACTACAGAGCTGCATCTCCACCCCTCAAGTCTGTCTCCTCAGTGTGTTTTTCATATTTGCATGCTGCTCTTCTGGTATAAGCAGTGATCAGCTGAGCCCTGGCTGCAGACAAAGGATTGTGTTTCAAAACGGAAATGGCTAGAAACACTAAGCAGTTAGCATGGAAACTGGTCTTTCTACTTGCTCTGGATCTGCACATCTGCGTCTTCTAGGTGGAAGAGGAAGTGCTTCCTCTGGATCCACTGGTCCCAGCACAGAGTTCAACAAGACACTGATCTCATGTGATCCTGCTCATTCAGTCAATACTCAAAATAAAGAATAGTGCAGTATGTCTTAATGAAATCATGAGACACAGTCTAGATAGAAATTCCACTTCTACTTTGAGTCAACCACTTGTATATCATGTCAGCTCCAAGAAAGAACTACCCTATTAGACACAAAGCAATCAAGAAGAATCATATGGCAGGACAAAGGAGAGGCAGGACAATGACCCCAGGAAAGCCGAGCATAGTGTGTGACTGCTTATACGGTGCTGGTGGTGACATTTCTGCTTCACATTCCACTCCTAAGCACTTTTAAACTTGCCTTTTCAACTTGCTCTTCATAAGGTCACTGTCTAGTCTGTAGTCACATCACACAGCCTTCTCAGTGTTTAAAATATCAGTAATTTTAATGTTTCAAAAGGTTTCTTTTACAAAGAAATGACAAAGGAAAATATTGACAGATTCAACTATATAAAAATTGAAATTTCCACTGAATGAAAAATAAACATCTCAATAAGACAAAAGCTAGGAGCATTAAAATTGACTGAAAATGTTCAATATCTATGGCCTAAAAAAGACTGCATTCAAATGAAAGAGTAACCTTAAAAGTATCCACAGCTAACAGAAAAACAATGTTCAAAAAACTTCCATGTGATATTGATAAAATTGTGAAAACCTGGCGTATTCAAATAGTACTAATGACATAAACTGGTAAATCCTTCCAGGAAATAACAGATAATGTGACATAAAACTGTTAATGCCTCCAACTGGTGATATTATTCTTAGAAATTTAGCACAAAAGTAATTAAAAAAATGAAAAAGCACCATATATATGATCTCAATATAAGCAGTCAGAGGTGCAGGAAAAGCTAAAGACAGCCAGGGGCCATGGGGAGGGCCAACCTGTGGCAGAGAGTTGGTGACTTCATCTGAAGCTGACTGTGTATGTGGCAGTTACAACAATGAATGAAAATCCATCACCCAGAGAAACACACTAAGCAAGAAGAGCACAGGATCACACACCAAGCCACAGAGAAGAACACAGCGCTTAGGAGGAGATGGCGGCAGAGGAGGCTGTGAAGTTCATCGGGTCTTCAGTGTCTTCTAATCTATTCCATTGATCCTCAGGTCTATTTTGTTGCCAGTACCATGCTGATTTTATCACAGTAGCCTTGTAGTATAATTTCAAG